TTAACAAAGGTTCTCATTCACCTTGTTCGTATGGATTTGGAGTGTGCAGATGCCTCTATCCTTGATAAAAAATTGAGCCCATTTGGTCGAGCCCTAATGGAGATATTCAAACTTTTTTTCCTTGTCTTGTTACTTATGGGACACCCTGTATAAATAGAAAAAAACAAATTTTTTAAAGGTTCCTCAAAATCGTATTAATGGTCGACTTCAAGATCTATCTTAACTTCGTAGACCAACTGTTGAAATTCTTGGAATTGGAGAAGAAGAAGCAGCTTGAGATATTGTTTTATCTTCAGCAGGTAAATTTTATTCTAACTAAACCATTGAAATGAAATTTTTTTTCTGTATTTAAGTTCGGCAAGTGTTCAATGTAGTCGTGATCATTATGTAATATTTGATGTAATGACACCAGATGGTCTTGGTATTCATCTTCGACAACCAGCATTCCTGAAATATTTATTCCATTTACGTGGTTCACATATAGAACAAACACCATTCTTTAATAAACATATTTATATGAAAGATCAACAATAAAATGAAGATGTTAATCGACATCAATCAAATGAACTTGAAATGATTATTAAGGACAAATTATGGAAAGGTGAACAAACTAAACATCGAAGACGAGCAAAACGTACATAATTTTCATATTATGAATTTGTTTTTGTTGATAATGGAAGATAATAAAATAAAAATAACGAGCGACGTATTTGGCATAAATGATCTATACAAAAAATTGAATTTAAGGAGGAGAAAATTCTATTTGTTAATAATATTCAAAGGATAAAATTCATTTCTTTTATTTAAATCATGAACTTTTTTCCGAAATATTATCAATTATTTATTATGTTCGTTATCAGAGAGAAAATAATGTCATAATAAATGCTTTGTAAAAATACACATAATATATGGTCTTATAGAACAGACTGTACAATATCATTTTTGTAAATGAGGTATATATGTGCTAAAGAAAAGGTATACGATGTTTGACAATACCAATACGAACTGTTTCGTTGTAACCGGAATGACAACTGTAAGGGACTCACATACGCACTTACAACAATTTCAAAATTTTCTGAAAGAAGCTTATAACGACAAATTGAAAAAGAAGCTTTACTAGCACCCACTCATGATGTTTTTTGATTACTCTATATCTCCAGAATGTAACTATTTCGCATGCAATACAAGCTTATATAGGAGAGAGAGAACAGAAGAGAAATATGACTACTCGATGGAATAATAAAGAAAGAGGGACAAGGAAAGAATAAAAAGAGTAAAAGGTGACATCAGTTAAGAGATTGATATTATTATCGGCACAAGACTCAAACGTTTGTGGGAAAGCTGAACTATGTCTAGCTCCATCGAGTTACCTTATTAGAATTCTTCATAAAATAACAAAATATTGTTTCAAGGCAATATCAACATTTTATTATTGGATGTAAACGTTTTACAGTTTATAACATTAAAGACAAAACAAACAGAAAAAAAAACAAGTAGTGAACTATGACAATTGTCTTGAAGACATCTGTTATATATAACAAACAGGCAATTAAAGCCAGAGACGAAATCTTAATATTCCAACATCGCTTCGACAATGAGGAAAGCGAGTTTGAACCATTGATCGATAAGATTCAACTTTTTCATAATGAATTTCACCATTAATATCGAGAAATGTAAATTCTTTTAAATTTTCGACCAGTTGACAAAGATCTTGTTCAAAGATGGCTACATGTTGAGCTAAAACAAGAGAAATATATTATTCGTTTATTCTTTAAAATAAAATCATTGTATCTGTAAGTATATTACCAATCAATTCCGATGTTTTTAGAGACTTCAACCATCGTAGAAGTTTCACTGAATAGTAAGGCTTTTTTTTAAAATCCGGCCGAACTTAAACAAAAAAAGACAATAGAACAATATGAGCCTATAAAATAGATTAGAGTTTCAATAAAAAATAGTTTTCTTTTTATTTAGTGAACAAAAGACATCTTTTCTTTTGTCTGCATTTTCTTTTTAAAAGAATCCATGTCTCATATTAGCCTGAAATGAATAATGATCGAATCGAATGTGAACTTTCTTATGTATATTTTCAAAAAAACAAATATCTGAATATTCAAAATAAATGTGTGAGAAAAGAAGCTATTCTTTTGCTAATGCATTTCATTATTTACTCATTTCGACAGAGAAAAAAATATGTTGTGGGCGAGACTTTAGTTCTTTTCATTTTCTTCTAATCATTTCACTTTTTTCACCAGAAAATTTTGAAAAATTCTATTTTTTTTTTAGAAAAACATATAATAGTTTTGAATATTTGAGAAAAGAATAAGTATGTCTTTTTTTTTAATTTCAAATCTACATCGAAAATAGTTAAACAAACAAATTCTAAGAACATTTCTATAGAAATTTCATAATTCAAATAATTTCGAGTCTTTTAAACATGGTTATTCAATTTTTCTCATAATTAATTCATAATGATAAAATAAGATTCGATATTTTTCATCAAATTCATTTACAAAACAGAAATGAATTTGTCTCAAAATTATAATCATTGTTTGAAATTTTAAAAAATTCGAAAATAAAACTCAAGTTTTCAAAGCATTCACTCTTAATTTTCAAATATCAAGTCTATATTAGGTAATTATAGATCGTGGTTTCATGAAACATAACAAGAACTAAATAGAATTGATAAGAAAAACAACATTATTTTCATATAAGTTTAACTATGAATCATTATGAAAATATTTGTTTGACTAATAAAGGACAAAATAAAATTCATAATTAATCAGAATAATATTTATCATAGAATATTAACAGATTTTATTTTGATAATTTTTATTTATGTAAAATAAACTTACTAGTTGTCCAAGAAAAATCATCTGGTCGCCAAAGACGTAATGTTTGTAAATGAGACATATATGTGCTAAGAAAAGGCACAAGATGTTTGCCAATATGAATTGATTCGTCAGAGCCAGTAGAAGAACTTGGAAGACAAAATTCAGCATATTGAACTGTACTTAATGCTTCCGTTCTTAAGTCGTCAGATGCCTAAATAAAAAAACCCAATAAAACATACTAATCTATTAGAATTAATTTGTCAAATCAAAGTAAATATTTTAAAATAATACAAAAAAAATGCTTAACAATAATTCACTTATAGAACAATGATTAAATTTTTTTTATTGCCTTACCAACAATTTTTGATAATGACAGAATATAGAGAGAGATAAAAATGAAATCTTCGCATCAGAAATGTAGTCAAACTACAATCACAAGTTCTAAGCTTGAAAAAAAATGGAATAACTTTTAATACAAGAAAAAAATAGATGTTTTTTCGATAGACTGTGGAATTAGTATAAAATTATGGCAAAAGATAGAGTTATCATTATATTTAATTAAAGATATTTCTTCATCGTCTATGTTCATTTTTCAAAATCTTATTCTGCATATCAATAAACAACAAAATTAGTTTCCTTCAATCTTAAATGTGTTTATTAATAAGTGAAATCGATTTCAATTGTATTGTTGACTTATCAGTATTCAAATTTGTTTAATTCTCAAATAAACTGAATTAATTCAGTTACAATATTGATATTGTATATTAGATGAAAATAGATTTTATTTTATTCTAAAGAATAATATAGTTTTCTTCTAAAAATTAGATCACTTTATTTATTTCAATGGTATAACCTATTCAGATTAGAAAAATAAAAACATATTGAACTTTACAAGCTCAAGTGAAATCCTACAGAAACTCACTGTGAAAATGTGAGAAATTATAACCATCTTATAATGAACTCGAAAGAAAGTAAAACTTTTTCGTAGAATTTAAACTACTCTTACAAGATTTATGATCATCAAATGATTTCTCTTGGATATATTCAGATGAATTATGCATAATAGAAATATATTCAAGAATTTAAAAGAAGATCATAAATAAAACAAATTCTTACGTATTGAACAACATGTAAGAGCCATTCGAAGTGTTCAACTAGAAGATATTTCAGTTGCACAGTCATCGAAATGAGATGAGCAAGTACTTTTTCACGTATCTCATTTCGATTTGGTAATATTTCGGTATTAGCTAGAAAAAGAAAAAATTATATTTTACGTAATTGCCATAAGAATAAATATCAAACAATGATATAAATGTATTTTAATCGATACTTTTTTAATTAGAAAGTGATTGTCCAAAATTAATTATTTCCATAGTCTGTTTCAGAACATTCTCTAATAATAAAAGTTTTAGAATCTTCTACTGTGTGCTGTAGTGAACAAACTATTCACCCTGAAATTTATCATAATTCATTTTTGTGGAACTCACGTATATTTTCGAAGAAAATAGTGAGTGTAAGTTTTAAGTTCGAGGTTTTGCGGCTCCCCCCCCCCTCCCCTTACAGACAGGCCCCCCTTACAGACCATAGCAACGAAAGA